CAATGTTGAAGACATCATTTTGTAATTAAATTTGCCTTTTGATAATCAGCTTAAGCTGGAAAACCTCCAGGCCTTTGCCCTACGTACACTATGGTCATATAATAAATGGCAATACTTCATTCTTAGGTTGCTTGAGCTACCGATCTCTCGAACATATTTGCACAAGTCCATCACGATGTTTGACTATATGTGATAAAAAAAGGAAATCCTATTGATTTACTGACCATCTTGATCAATGTTGTTGACATCATCTTGATGATTAGTCTTGTCTATTTGATGATCAAATAAGTTCGCGTATTGAAGTGCTACTTACATGTTGTCTTGCTATTTTGATCATGATTAACATTTGAAAAATAGCAAACGCGAAGAGCCCAAAGGGGTTTTCTAAAAAGCAATCATGACAGTAATGGCGTGTCTCCTGTAAAAGGTATGATTGTTTTAAATAATTTAAACAGAAGGTATTTGGCAGTCGGGGAATGTTACAAAGATTTGCCCTTTTCTTAAATACTTGACATGTCAAAATAATTTAATATTATTTGACATTTAAAGAGTTTAAAACACCTTTTTTAAGTGTTAGGATTTACGATCGCTGATTGAATTCAGATTATTTAACTCTCATGAATCAATTAAGTCATAGAGTCAAAATTATAAATTTAAATTTACGTAACAGTTTTCCCTTAATTATAGTCAAAATGATTGCCATTGTATGCTACTTTTCATAGTCATCTTTATTCCGTATCTGTTTAAATTCATTTGTCTAAGTTTTTTTATTTGTCCACACAAATTCTACCTTAAAATGTAACCTTAAAATGTTTATTTTGCCCTTTTACTACCTGTTTCATGTTTAGTTTATTAAGAACAATATTGCTTTTGTTGGCGTTCTAATATATTTTTATTGTTAAAACTAACTTAGAATAATTTGAAATATATATTTGTATTACTATAATCTTCAACCATGGGAAGTAAATAGAAATATGTGAAAAATTTGGTGGTAGGGTTTTCGTAGTTATTACGTTTTATATTAAAAAATGTTACATTGTAAATATGATGTCACGTTAACTTTTATATTTCAATTGCTGTTTTTAGACATAAATTGCCTTATATGGTTATAAAATAAATAATATTGAAATATATTGCAAAATTTCATAATACATTTTAATCATAAAAAAGGCGGTAACTTAAGGCCATATCAGCAATCAGTATCCGTTTAATATTGCTTTTAAATTACTTTTTATTGTTTAGTTTGGAAAAGAATATCAAATGTAAAATAAAACACTATACACGACACGATATAGACATACAAACATTTTACATAATACAAACACCAAATAAGAATACTTTAGTAGCACATTATTCGTTAATGATACCGCGAAATAACTCCAAAAGAAATTTGTTTTCACGTAAATCTGAAAGAAACGTTGTTTTTATAATATAGAGAATTCCCCTATAATAACCATCAACATCAGGTACCATAATGAACCTCGATTGTATATGATTTATCTCATATTTTCTCACGGTCTGAAGATGATAAAATGCACCAACATTTCATGATATATTGGGACAAGCTGCAGTCACAAGATTGTTGTCTGATTAAATTACCGTATTGACATATTGGTAGTTCTGTGAGAAATGATTGCTTTCTAGAATATATTATGATTTGGAGTGTATCAAATCTATACCAGCATGCTTTCATAGACAAATTTGTCATCTTCAATGGAAAGAGAGTCAACCTCAATGACAAAAACTACGGTTTTTCTGGTCACATAGTTCAGTAATAAAACAAAACCCTTAACTGTATTGTAATAAATAATTGTATTGAATTATTTACAGCATCTAACCCCTGACTGCAGCAATTACCTTGTATGCGATAAAGGGCGTGTAGTATTCACTCCAAACAAGGGCCTTACTGATTCAGAATTGACTGCATGAATTATAATTATGCATCTTTACATACTGTATGAAACTAAATATTCAGTTAACTCCAAAACACTTTTGGCTTTTGTAATTTATAGGTGTTGCAATGCCAAACAATGAAGAATATCATCATGAACGTTTAACTTTTAAAACGATCAACAAATTGTTCCTTTGCGTGAGGTTAGTTCTTATCAAAGAGATATTAATAGCCTGTATAAACAAGTTGTCATTTAAAAGTGGTTTCACCGAAGGTAGTCACAAATTATTCAGGTGTGAATTGTTGTGTGTTAAAAGGGTTTACCATGCACATAATGCGTTGTCTTTTGATACATAAAAAAAATTAACTTTCCTTATTATAACAACGAAAACACAAAGAACTAAGCGTTTATAAAAACAAAAATTTCAGTGTAAGACACATTCGTATACCCAGTATTTATTTCAAACGCGACAACAAACAAATGTTTCATGTAAAAATCAACTGAGAGCTCATTTCGAATATAAGAATATAAGGATATGATTTAACTCTTTGGTGTCCATTTTTTAATATTATAATGTCTGTCTGACAGAACACTAATACCAGGCTTAGTATGTCTAACATTGTGATTTATGAATATTGCTTTCTATGAAGTCATTGACCAAAGATACTATACTATATTTGGTTCTTATTGACAAGACATTATCATTCTTAAAGTATGTTGTAGAATAGTCAAAGTTTCTTATAAGCTAAACAATTTCAAGGTGATGTAATCATATTATAATCGGTCCTTCTGATTCCTTTCTTAAAAACGCCTGATTTGGTGTAAAAGTTTAAACAAACAAAAATACTATAAAGTACAATAATGAAGAACCAACAATAGAATAAATCTGCATATTATAGATATAATTTTTCATTTGATGTAGGTCTAGATCAATCACTTGTTTGCAAAATTACGGATCATTAGTCTGTTCTGTTTAAAACAATCAAATGCATTGCTTTTTTTCAAATTGGGCTAGGACTAGCATCCAAATATCATGTTCAATTTATTTCTAAGTATATTTTGTAATTATCCTTTGCAAATATTTCTGTTGTAAGTGCCCCACCTGATCTATGAAAGCTAGTTTTATGTTTTCGGGCTTTTAAACCTCAGTAGAGTTCTTTTAAAAGTCATTTTGGAGAATCAAACATTATGCAGTACGTTGAAATTATCAAACTTCTAATACGTAAATATATGAGAGTGTACACATTATTGAAATTTAGTATCACAAGTTTGCACAATCTTTTATTACATATATTTATACACAGGAATAAATGGAAATAAAATGAGACATATGCATATATATTACAAGAGTATAACATATATAAATCTACCAATTATGAAACAATCTTTTTAAAAATTACTCGGCTTAAGTAAATATGGTTTACTTGCATACGTTATTTCTAAGTTTTCTATACAACGTCATATAGAAATGCTAGCAATGTTTACATAACAATGACATAATAATTTCTTGTAAGTAAGAAAACACAACGCATTTTGTAAACATAGATATTAGAATATTGATGTTTTTTTCAAAGTAGGACAACTTCTTTTATTTTACAGGGTTTATTTAAGTGTCCCTATAGCTTGTTTTTACGTTTAACGTTATTAATTTTGTAATCATATCATATTGCAATGTTGACAGTATTTTTTAAAGAACCACATGTGAAATATTGCAAAATAGATATAAAAGGATAATAAATGCCAAAATTATAAACATTATATCAGTTGAAAGCATCAACATATTGAACATCATTAACTGAGGGTACCTGATTAGTTATTATATTGTGGTGTGTTTTTCGATATCTTATGAAAACTTAGAAAAGTTACAGGATAGTGAACGTTATTGGGGGTCTAATTATCTTGAACAATATTTTTCAATCAGTAAGTTATCGTTCTAAATAAACTTAGTATGTTCTTGCGTGAAACAAACTGTTACTAGAAAATATGATGATATCTAAATGCAGTGTAAATTGTTTTGTGGGAGGAAGTATGGTTATACGGGGAAGTCAAGGGCCGAGACCGCTAAGAGGTGCAGGCCTTGGCTTTCACGGCTATAGATTACACGTGTATTTTTAAAAGGATATTAAATAACAAAAAAAAACAATTAAAGAATATATAGAATGTTTTACCTATCAATGAAATTTTCAATGTCAGTTCTAATTCAAAGATAATAGGTGGAGTATTCCGATGACGGAACAATCACAACTTTTAGGTTTAATAGGAAATTATATCGTCGAATGTTCTGAGTGAAAACGGAAGCGGTGTATGAAATACCGAATGACTTTCCTGTTTATAGGCTTTGTCTAATTTCATATTACCTCATCAACTTAACAAGAAAGTTAAAGAACTATCCTGTACATTTTATTTTAGAACTATCCTTTATATTTTATTTCATTATGGTGCAAGAACTATTCTGTATACCTTATTTTAAAACTATCCTTAACATTCTAATTGATAATGGCAAGAACCATCCTTTACATTTTATTTTAGAATGGCCAATGAGATTCCTAGATTACAATATGTAATTTAAAATGACCAATGAAAATTCTTCATATATCCAGTTCTTTCCTGTAAAATTACAGGAAGTCACACTGAATTCAGATGGCCTCCGGCCTAAAAAAATCATAATATTGAATAAAATGATAACAAAATTAGGTTAACATCATAAAGTTATTTTTATTGTTATATATGTCAAATAAAATATTCTATAAAAATATTAATCATTTTATTAAATTATATACAATAAAAATTCGTTACAAATTGAGCAGCAAATTTTAGTATTTTATTTTCGTATAATAAAAGATCAACATCGGATAAATGTGCTCATAGCATTTCTTTTTGTTTTAAGCAGCAGCTAACAGCCTAAAGTGTCCTTCAACTTTTATTTTCAAAATCCGCGTTTTTTTCCCATAATTATATAAGACGAGAGCTCAAAACAGAATACGAATATAAGTGTACAAATTTATTTTCAGCTTTGAAGACAATATAAATACATATATCTTCTGGTAATAATTGTAAAACTATATGGATGCTTAAAATGTCAAATATTTAAAGACAATCAAATATTACCTTCGTATCTATTGAACTTTCCTTTGAGTTATTCCGTTCAGCATGAATGTTTGCTCTTGGAAATAGATATGTAAAACACAGAGAGCATGTATATGCATGAAACATAGAAACATTCAATAATCCGAAGCTGTTTCTACAAACACCATCCATTTTTAAAAAGTGATATATTATATACTTGCCACCTAAATGTAAATTATGAATATTTATAAACAAACATATCGACTTCGATCCTCAACACAGTTTCTTTTTGTAGCTCGAATTTCACATTTATACTGAAAAAGTTCTTATTAGTTTTAAATATGTTTAAATCTATTTACATCTTTTCAAGCAAATCAATCAAAAATAGAATACAAATAGCCGCAATAAATAGTTTATTTTGAATGAAGTATTAGCGAATTATATCAGCAACGCAGAAATGTCTTTTTTAGTTGTTAACCAATATAAGCGCATCTTATCTGTTCTCTTTCAATGTGTTGAGGCTCTTTAAATAAAACTCTGGTAACCAGTGGAAAGCGAGTAATAATATCGATAAAACCTTAAATCAAAGCTAGACGATTTTTGTAGTGATTCTTTGTAAAGAAAGAAACTATATAAATTGTTTCCAAGTATTCCATATAATTATATGGAAATGACACATTGATAAATAAAAATATATATGATTTATCAAGGCCAAGAAAGAAAATACAACGCAGTATCAATCAGTGAAAACAATGCACCACCGGATTACTAATCACTAGTCACCTGTTCCTTTGGCAAGGCATAATTTCTACGTGAAAATTGAACCCGGACATTGAGTCTTATGCTCATTTATCTCTTACCATTGATTCAGAACTCATGCTGAATAAAAAGTCGGTCACTTGCGCAGAAATTGGTATCTACTGGTAAGTTATCCCAGAAGGACAGTTAGAACGATTGGCCTCTGTTTTATAACCAAACATGTGTTAAAATCCGCGTAAGACCAGAAAATCAAAAGGAAAAGTGGCTTGGTAGAGCCAAAACTCGACATTATTATGTTAAACAGATTTTAGACGCTTTGTACCTTTGTACAATGTAAGCAGCTATTGTACTACATGAAATATTATTTTGTTATGACGTCTTACACAATATAATTTGAAGACTTTCTTTAATTAACAAATACCTGTCTAATAAGTATTACATTTCGTTTTGCAATGATTATGCAAATCACATATTAATCGACGTTAAACTAGTAAAGTTCCTCAATTATCAAAATATAAAATGCCCACATTTTTAAATATTTAAAATGTTTTCATTTTAAAAAAAAGCTTTGTCTTGCTTGTAGAAAATATTGCACTTTCTCTTCCTTGCTTCCTTATACACACCTGGATGTATAAAATGCTAATGTTTGAGACTCCTTTAGCACATGTATATAATGGATTTCTTTCATCTTTTCACCTTTAAAAGGAATATTGAATTTTGCAAGACAATCGTTATAGTCAGGTTGTATTTGCAAAATAATTATATCTGAACCTTTAAGATTGGAACATAATTGCAGCATGTCGCCTTAGTTATTAGTTGGTGTTGTCCAATATTTGATTTCAGAAATAAAAAATCTTGATCATCTACCAGATTTAACTGACCTTTCGGAATGGTATCACATTATGCTTATTAGCGTGTAATCAACATATACTGAATCTCTCCTAACGAGATGAATCTTCCAGAACCAGGAGACAAGGTGTCGTTTTATTGTTTCATTAGACACGAAGCCGTGAAAATGAGCGTCTGGAAGGAACCTACTAAAACTTTATTGTAAGGTATTCGTGACAACAAGACATGGTATATTTAGTTTACTTAATTTTATATCTCTGTCTCCTGGCACAATTGTGGTTCTGATTACATGATAGGGTGGTATTTAGGTGGAACCTTGGCTTTTTGTTTAAATAAATACATTAATTCTTAAAGTACATTTCACCTTACTACTGCGGTCAAAAGCATAAATCAGAAGACATTATCATTTACATTTTTCTAAAACTCCTTATAATATTCCTATTATTTATAACAAGAGATATCTTATTTCCCATTCAGTACACAACAACAAGCACCATAATTGCAAGCAACTTAAGTCGTTCAAATTGAATGTCATACTAATAAAAGCAAATGCCATAAAAAGTATTATCTACAATACAATGTACATTTCAAGAAGTTGTACAATTTTAAATCTAACTTTATATATCATTTCATATTTCAAAACAATCTGTCAGCTTTCATAATTTCTTTTATCTTGACTATGAACAATATAGTATTCTGCACCACTATGGTAATATGCAATATGAAAAGAGAATGTTTATAGATATAAAAAAAATACTTCAATGACATTTACGCAGAACAGTTTAAAATAGCTTAGTCCGAGGATAATAGTCGTTGATGTGAATTGGTGATGTTAATTGTTTTAATAAATTAATCATGTTATAAAACTTGAAGAAGCTTTGTAGATGTTACCCCTAGTATCGTTACAGAAAACAAAAGAGAAAGATAACGTTTTCAACTGAGTATTCTTTGATAACAATGTCAGATACAAAGCTTGTTCTATATAAATGAATTATTGGTGGAAGGCATTCACTGTTGGCGGTTAATTACAATAAGTATTTGAACATCCTTTGCCGGAACTGAGTGATAATCAAATAATTAAATAATTGCCTATATAACATAACTTAGACATGGCTTTTTATCTCTTGAATTTTAAATGGGCCTTACCTTATTCAAACTAGTTTTTTTTATTCAGTTTAAATCTGCACAACAACTAATCACATTTTCACATTGTATGAGATCGGAGATTGACATATCTTTCTGCTTTCCAAACAAGACCTATCACATAAGATGCTTAAATAAGTAAATCTGACGTAAAGGCAAATAAAGAACATTTTTTTCATGACATAAAGTTTTCTCACATAATTACTAAATGTGAGAAAATAATTAACTAATTGCTTCTTTTTACTAATGAGAAGAATTTATAATTTGTTTTAGGTCAATTTCCCTTTAAGCTTCTATTGCTCGTTGATACTAAGTGCTTCATTACATTTGCTAAATAATTGATGGATCTCATTAACATACGAATGGAAAAGATCGTTTGAATCAGATGACAAGTTCCACTTTCCTTTCCACTTTATTGATAAAGATATATACATTTTACACAAAAAATAAATACAGACGCAATTAAAATTGCTCGTTCAGTTAGTAAGTCAAGATACAAGCTTGTTTGGTAGGTCACAAATTATGAAACAGTTTTTCGTTTATATTAAAATAACCTGCTATTATAAAAGATCAATGGTATTAAAGTACGTATGTATAAATATATTTTACTACTTTATATAACAAAAATGTCACTATAATGAAAAAAACAACACTTTCATCTTTCAGGATTACAATTGCTTTCAGGAAATGAATATCAAACGACTTATTCCTTGAAATGATGTGCAGATTTATCATCGTTAAATTAACTTCCTGATGAAACACTTTTAACATTATTATAATCATTGAATTATATATGTTTTGATACATTTCTACATGTTATTGTGCTATTTATTTATATTTGATTTTATTATGCTCTAAAAAGTAAGTTTTGTTTTCTTATTGATTAAAATTATTGTTGCAAATCCCACAATTTGCAAATTATGCCATTAAAAGTGACGGGAAAGGTAATATAAGTGATGCGTCAGCAGTGTAAATGACAATTTTTAAGAAAACATAAACTAAATTAAACATATCACAGGGGCTTAATACGATGTTTTCTTACGGAACGTCGGTGGTTCTACTCAGGTGCCCGTTCGTGCCTGAAATAATGCACGGAAGGGCACCTGAGGTCTTCCTCCACCAGTAAAGCTGGAACGTTGCGATATGACCTATACTGTGTCGATGTGACGAAATTCCCCCCCCCCAAAAAAAAAAAAAAAAAAAAAAAAAAAAACGATGTTTACGATGAACAAGGTATTTTCAAAGATAACCTTGTAAACATAGGCATTGAAAGTCGAAATAAATGAACAATATCAAAAGTATGCTCGAGTAATTGTCAAAACCTTAAAACCCTTTTAATATCAAATCGATTACATATTGCATATACGCTATTTGCCAAAACAGCGATAATGTAAAATGTACTTCGATTATATGCAATCACAAAATATTCTAATAATAATCTAATATAGTAATACATGTAATATATTTATTCCGCAAATCATTGCATTCTAAAAAAACGATTGTTTTTGAAGAAAATATATTTTGCGGAGTTATCAACATGATTGTATATAATTCTATATACAAGTTCTTAAAACAGATCTGATAAATATAGTAACTCAGGCATTTTGACAACATAATATATGTTTATGCTAATAAAAAATTATTATATTAATTGGCTGAACAATAAAACTAAAATTCATAACATTACCTGAATATGTAAAGAGTTATCCTTTGAATAAGTTATATTCACGTGAAAAGTTGCTCGTGGAAATAAATAAGTAAAGCAGAGAGAACACGTGTATACGTTAAAGACGGAAACATTTAAAGATCCAAAACTATTTCTACACACTCCATCCATTATAGAATATCACTTTTATAAAATATCAACAGATTTGGAAAACAGTGTTTTGAAATGTACGTATGGCACACTAGTTATGTGTTGATATGTATAAAACATATTGTTTAGAACAAACCTGTTCTGAACATTTCTTTAAAAATAAAACCAAAATTATCAAACAGTATTTTCAAACACTTGTCGTCCCTAAATGCAGTAGAAATGGTGTTATTTATTTATAAAACAAACTGATATGAGCAAGGCAGATGAGCGGCAAGTTTGTGTGCTGCTCATCAATTTGTTCACTTCACTACTGCTTCTTGTAAAAATGATATCGGAATTTAAATAACATTTCTGGTATCCAACCTGTAAAGTGAGTATCATTTTCTATGAAGACATATATCAAAGCAGTACGACAGCTATGATTGAAAAGCTGTAGCTAAGACAGTATTTACTTATACAATACAATATTGGTTTTAATAGTAAGTAATATGGTATTTACACTGGTCCATGCCAGCGCTATATTTCAGACATTGGTTTATTGGTATATTATAAGGGTTTTGTCTGATACCCGATACTTTCTACGTATCAGAGAATATTGATTGATAAACAAATAAGGAAGTCTTTTAAAATGTAGTGAATCTACATTGTTCACTTTGCTTGATGCGGGAAAGGTACTTAAGTGTTACATAAAGTGTTTGAAATAATATAACATATAACAAAAATATCAAAACTTGTATATTTAAAAAAATATACCAAACAAAGAGGTATATTAAGATTGATGCATTTTTTTACACATACGTAAAAACGCGTTTATGAAGGCTCAGCCAAATTGTGATTTCAACTTTCGTTCCAAATCGTGTGAAAATAACATAGAGAATACGAGTACGCTGTAAGTGTGCCGTTTCTCTGTTGTTGTTGTTGTTTCATTAAAAAGGAAGACAGCAATCATCTAAAAGGAAACTTCTGATAAACAGTTTTGTTAAAGACAACGACACTTGTTGAATATAGTCAAATGAGTTTTATTTGTCTTCTCCTTTATAGACGAATAATTTGCTAGAAAAATCGAGGGACTCATTGGGATGAATTTAG